ACCAAAAACAACATTGAGGAACCTGCTTGTCCACCCAAGGACAAGATGGGGGACCACGTGAAAACAGACTGCGTATATAAAATACCATGCAAAAGCTGTGATCAAGTGTATATTGGAGAAACTGGCAGGACCTTTGGCAAAAGACTGGAAGAACACAGGAAAGAGGCAGACAACAGCGAAACCGTAAGATATACACGCTCCCAGAAACAACAAGCACAAAAAGAAGAGAAGAAATCGGCAGTCACAGACCATGTTGCCAGAAACAATTGTGTGATAGACTGGGAGGGTGCCAGGGTCATAGATAGGGAGGACAACAGAAGAATCCGTTGGATTAAAGAAGCAGTCTGGATAAGGAAGTCCACCCCAGTGATGAACCGGGACGAGGGGGGATACAAGCTCAGCCACGTTTGGGATTGCATTCTCGCCGCAAAAGCGCCACCTACTTTGGCGTTAAATAGCGGCGAGTTGCAGAACTCCAGTCAGAAGCTCTGAGGAAGGTGTCTGATAGACATCGAAACGTAAGCAGGTGAGAACCTTACTGGTTGTGTTAGAAGAAAATCCTATACCCTAAGTATTTTCCAACCTGATGAAATTATTTACGGAAATTTATACAGGAACTTGCAATAAACTTTATGCATGTATTATCATATAGCCAGGTGACGTTGACCAATCAGAAGGCTCCATTCCACATTCCTTATGACGCCGTAATGTCACAAATAGAGTCAACATCGGGTGTTTATTCATCCCAATCCATACATTAAACAACCCAAATAATCACCCGCATATGACCTCAGGTGACCCAATAGAACACGGCTCTAGTTCTAAAAAATCCAAAAATAAACTAAGTTGTGTTCCAATGACTACGGGTGACTTCCATAAGAACACCCGTTCCCTGCCTGTGACCCAGTTAACGTGAACTCTACCCAGTGACCTCAGGTGACTCCAGATGGAACTATGTTCTATGTTCTATTCAGCATGTGCATTGTGTCACTTACTGCATCAGTTTGGATGGGCTATCGTGTAAGCTATATGATAATAGCGTTAATGTCCCGCCCTTTCTCGGTGAATATGGTGTGATAAAGCCTTGTCAGTTGCTATAACCACCTCATAAAGCCACCTCGTTCGCTGCGCTCACTTGGTGGCTTTTCTTGGGTATAGCAACTGACAAGGCTTTATCACACCATATTCACCTCGGGGCGGGACATTAACCCTTAATTATTGCAGAGTCCACAGTGATAAAGTATATTGCTTTATAGAGTAGTGGGGCTCCTTTTAAACCAATCTAAACTTGATTAAAACAAATTAACAAACAGAAAGTAGAGGACCTGTTGATCAGGGCAAAATAATCATGACAGAATTTACAGTATTGTGTTTTTGTCTTTGTACATTCTTTATTGAACATCTCAATAATATACATTATTTTACAAACTTTCACAATCAATGCAACACTAAAAGACATGTTATAAATAGTTCTTGTGAACATGGCATTAGAATTATCACAGTCAACATAGTTTATTTTCAAATAGGTTAAAATCCTTCACGTCTCAAATCCTGCATTTTTATGCATAAAGTTTGTTTCTAAAAACCACATGATAAATAGCACAAAAGGAGAGGCTGACAGTGAATTGTATATCCAGATGCCAGAACTGTAAGGAAAGTCTTTACATCTTGTTATTTTAAAGCTCAACAAGTTTTGCGTCAACGACGGTCAAACTGAAAACATGTCAAACAGTGCCAGCATTTTCTTTGCATGTGAAGTTACTGGATCATGTTACTATCAATAAATAAATTCTGTAAATTCATCTTATTTAAGTGCTGCCTAACAATATTTTAAAAAGCCTTGTTACTTTCATACAGGCAACCTACAAATTTGACCAAAACTAAACTGGTTGCTATAAATATTGAGACTTAAAGCAATCTCCATATTTGCTTTAACTCTGTACTGCTGTATATGGAAAGCATTTTGATGTACAGTTAACAAACAGTGAATGAACTCCACCTCCATGTACAAGGAAGCAAGAAAGACAATTTCTTGAATATGTAACACGCAGCCACAAAATTACTTAAATATAAAACCACCAGAGTCAAATGTAACATTTAAGTTAAAAGCTACACTATCAAAAACCTGCATGACAGAAAAGATTTGTCTACCATTAAATATTTCATGAGGTATTCTTTACACAGAAGCTGCATAACCTTAAAACCTTTCTTGCCGACTTACACTAAAAATACAAGATGTGCTTCCTGGATAACACCATGACAGGAAAATAAATGGTTCCAAGGAAAGACAGCTAGCGCGGCATCATGATAAAATCATGGCAAAACAGCACAGTTAACAACATGCTTATACTATTATTAAGTTATACATGTAGTCTTTAAAAACATGCCACATTAAATAAATCCTTGGTTCACAGCCTTTTTGAGACTATCGATGGTACTGCATCATGGGCTCAGGCATCCTGAGGATCCCGTGCGGCTGGTTCTGTACGGGTTGGTACGGCTGACTCTGGTACGGCTGTGGCTGTCCGTATCCGCCGGCGGGCGAAGCGTAGTTCCCGTAGCCACGGGGTTGTGGCGCAGGGGCACTCTGTGACCTACCACAGGACCAATTGCAAGTTGTTAAATTGACAGTTAAATGTGAGATTTTATTACTGTCAGAGCTTGAAATACTGGGCGCATATGCACTTTATTGCAGGTAAAATTGGGGATTACCTAACCTACTCTTGTCCAGATCCATGTACTGGGTTTATATGAAGGTGTATGCTGATTTTTTACCTGCACCACTAGTGCTGGTATGCAGAAAAAAGCATTTCAAGCCCTGACTGTTTTAACTGTTTTTAAGTTCACTGTCTGATGTAGAACATTTTAAAAGTGTTTTAATATGTAAGGGTCTACAATGCAACCCAAAGGCTGCCATGACTTTCAAACAAAAGTATGAATAAACTTGAGTATACCTGTTCACGAGGCTGTCACTGACGAAAGGTAGTGGATGCTACCTGAAACGTCTGACTGTTTCCAAAATCATATCCAGTTGTTTGAGTGCTACCAGGGTAGTAACTGTTTTTTTGTTACCTGCAGTAGATGTCTACCCTTCATTGACGTACCTGTTCATAAGTTCCTGCATCTTGTCTGACTTGACCCTGCGCAGGTGAGCTAGTCTCCTCTTCTCCAGGTACTGGGACAGGAAGTCCTCCACAGGTATGCCTCCCTCAAGGAACTGGTCAGCTAGCGACTGAAAAAAAAGACAAGTGTTAAGCCTAGGAAAAAAGGTTGTGTTTCTGCTGGTAATACCCAACTGACCTAAGAAAACCTATAAAAGGAAAGTGAACTCGATCCAGTTTTAGGAGAGCTAGATATAGCTAATTTCTCACTGGTTATGACAGAGAAGATAGATGCTATATGTACACAGTACAGACATTGTGCTGGGAAATACCCTTAGCTCTACCAGTACAATGAGCAGTGGACCACAACTCAATGCCCCATTCTAGGAACTGCGACCCTACAGTAGCATGCATGTGGGGTGAACGACAACAGTTGGGATTCAAACTCCCAATCCCTTGGTCCAAAGGCAGGGTCGCTAACCACTGGACTATGCACGCTACTGCTTAAAAGAATCCCCTAAACGATATGAATCACTCCAAATTCAATAAAAAAATCTTTTCCGACCTCAGATTCCTCCTCAATCTCAGCAGCAGCTGCCTGCAGTAGAGCATGGGTCGTGTCCAGGTCATTTCTCTGCACCAGGGACTCTGAAATTTTACATAAAGAATTTAAATAAAGAGACTCTTTTTACACCATCAAGTGTTTTATTCTGAGCCAATGTCTTCGTGACTGTCACCTTCATCAGGGTGGTGTAAAAAGAGTCTCTTTATTCAGTGACTTACCAACCTGATAAAAGTACAGTTTTCAAGGATTGCCAGAATTTGTCAGGTACAAAATTCAAAAACACAAAAATCTAAGTATTAGACAAGACTTGCACCCCAGGTACATTCAGACATCAGTTACCTAGTTTTATTGTGTGTATCGTTTAAAAAAAATGTTTGCCAGTCACCTACATATACCTTGCTGAAGGAATTAGATATCCCCAGGTAGTAAGATATGTTTTTTGGCGTGTTTGTTACCTAGTCGCTGTTTTTTCTCGTCGTACAGGACCCGTAGTTCTGCGGCCTCCTGGTGAGCGCGGGAGAGTTTCTGTCTGCCGGCGACTAGCTCTGGTTCTCTCTCCAGGTTAAACTCTGCCAGGCTGCGGTTACTCGCAAGTAACATCTCACGCTCTAGCTGGAGGGACTTTACCTGTTTCCAAAACATATTAACACTATACTGACTATAGTTACAACTAATATAATACAGTCATTGAAAACTATGTTTCTCTCTCTCTCTCTTTTCAAGGTTACTGGTCAGTAACATCTCTCGCTCAAGCTGCAGGGACTTCACCTGGTTAAAGAATACACATTTTCACTATACAAGTTATAGGGCATAATAATATTATATGCTACTTTCTTCTCTCTTATCTCTTTCTCTCTGTACCTTTCTATCTATCATCTATCTATTATATATCTACATAATCTATCTATCAATCTATCTAACATGTTCAGTAACAAGCGTTACCTCAAAATTTGAGATAAACACTCTATTTACATAATTTCCATTTAGTGTGTTACCTCCCTAGCCAGGGTAAGTAAAATAATTGTGGAAGAGAAATACTGACATTTGTAGTTCTTTAGACTTATAACTGGTGTCATTCATCCTTACCGTTTGTTGGTATAAGCTTGCCTCTTTTGGTACAATATTACATTCTCACATTGGAATACCTGTATATTGTGCAAACAAGAGCTGACAACATGACTCATATAGTCATAAGAACATGACCATAACGGCATAAGGTCGTGGTGACGTAGGGCATAGGAAACTAAGCTAGGAGCTTAAAAATTGAGTTCTTTGGACTAAAGAAGCCGCTTCTATATGCTGCACATACTGGCTAGGGAGCCAGAAGACCAGACATGTTCTAACTAGTACTAGTAGCGTTCTGTTAGTGTAGTTTCATACTCACAGATTCGTGGTCGCTCACTAAGTCCTGTATTCTGTCGTCATCGCTGAGCATTCTCTGTAGTTCCTCCCTGTTTAAGTGGTTCAGAAGCTCGAAGGAAGCTTCTGGGGTCGCCCTTGAACCCTGGGACCAAGACATGGTGGACAAGTAATCACAAGAAACTTAGGATTGAAAAGAAAACATTATTACACTGATCAGAAGAATGTTCAATGTCGGCCGTCTAGTTTGAGCTTGACCGCATCTACACGCAACAGAAAAAGACGCGTTTAAATCTTCTGTTTTATGAGTAATGTATACTTACCTACGGAAATATAATAGAATATGAACTAACTAATTTATTTGTAGGCAGAAGGAACATAACGGTTTCATCGTTATAATTTCGTCCTGCAAAAATAATAACTTTTGATGCGTTTTGCTGCAGTGCATTGCCATCTCCACGGTACAGCGACCTCTAGCGGTACATAATAACTTTGCATGCACCAAGGCCATTTTACAGGCCTTCTTTGACAGTGATGAAACATGCACTTAACGATGTGAATTTCTATCCATAACGTTATGAATACATACTTATACATACAATAGGAACGTTATATACATAGAAATTCGTAAATGAGGCTTCCATATCGCCACGACTACCTCAAATCATTTCCCTGCACTGTATGTTTCCTGTCCTTGGTGCTGAACGCCATCCACACACTATCAAGGGCTCACAACCAATTTTTTTATAATACACAACCAGAATGGTTCAAACAAATAAAAAAACGAGAAAAAAAAATTCAAAAATTGCATGCAGTGCTGTTAATCGTGCAACTTTATTACCATGAGGGTTACTGAGAACATCTGTCTGTATGCCTTTAGTACAAAGGAGCAAATCAGACTGACATATCAGTACAGTAGTTGATGGAAATGGAAACAAAACAATAACTGGTATATTCTACAGTTCTCAATGTATTAGTTTTACATGTTGTCAACTTCATCATCATAGAATCTGATAGAACACTGATAAATTTTAAGCAAACAGAATATTACATGTACTTTCAGGTAACTGTTACTTCGATCTTTCAGTTGAAGCTTCATGGCAGCTGCTTAGTCGAGTGAAGTTTAACTGAATGCTCTATAACAAATTTGCGTGAAGACCTTTCTCAAAGTTGTCATTTTCTTTTTTCAAGGCTTACTTTCTGATCAACGTCACACTTCATATTCTTTGACCTCAAGAAACATATCGAATTTACCATTCTCAGTAAGTCATAATCATATAGTCTCCTCTTTACATTCATGGCAAATCAAAATATGATCTCACTTCATATAAATTCTATCTGACAGTTACAACTTCTAACAAGTCAATCATAACGATGATCACCATATAAATGTAGATGTACGGTATCAAAGATGTATAAAGAGTCAAATGTCTTCTGCTATAGTACAGCGCATTTCTTGTCTTCACATTACAGCCTTTTCCAATTGCAACATCCTATAGCCAACCAACACACAAGAATCAGTACATAATGCTCTTCTTTTTTCCGTTGATCAAACGAACATACTGTTTAACTAACTGTTTCTTATCCACTCTAAGCTCTACTTCTGGCAAGGAGCTATTTAATATAGAGTTACAAAACATTTCCTGTTTCAAAAATGTATAACAAATCTATTGTAATCTGGCAACTTTAATATGGCAAGGTTTTATATATTCACTAGTCTTGTCTTAATTGTGCTCCATGTCTAGAATGACTGATGTTCTAGAAAAAGAATACTGATTCTTCCATTGCTGTATCCACAGTTGGTCCATCAGGCTTCATACAAAACGCCTGCACAATATACATTTTGTACTTGCATTTGCACTTTTACAACAACTTCCATTGCACAGAAATTCCATAGCAATCCCTTTGAGAACAGACATCTCTTGGCAACAATGGAAACCCAGTGGTGGTGTTCTACATGTAAATGGTGTAAAGTTCAACAATATCTCACAAAACGTAGGACTTCAGAGTTCATATGTCTGGAGAATCTCTAATAGACTGACTGTGAATTAAGCATTCACAAAGGATTAGAAGGTGATTGGATGGCAAAGTTTATAGTACAGTACCATCTACATGTATGTAAGAATTGTTTAAATTCAGAACTTTCATTGATGAAGATGAAGCTGTTTCATTCCTGTAGCACCAGATGTTGACTTCAAGATGCTGAGACACTCTTAGAGCATGCTCAGTCTCTTCTTCGCTTCTTTCTCAGCCATCACAGCAGACCTGTAGGGGGGAGGACAAAATAGAGTGGGGTCAGTTAGTCTCATATCCAACATTGGTGAGGACTAGCTACTTGAGTGGAATCTAGTCTGATACACTGTCAGACAAAAATGTACAGATGTCCTACCCGACTGTAGCCTCTACTCTAAAAATCCCAGGGTTGCTAGAGGGTCATATGGTGTAACGACTCAGAACCAACTCTTATCCGGACATGCTACTGATCTTGTGCCCTTGGAAAAGGCACTTCACATGACTTTTCTCACTTAACTCAAGTGAAAATGAGTATTGTCCTGTCCTATGTTTGTTTCTATGTGTGGGACACAACAACAGCAACCGCTGCCTATGTCCCATGTGTATTGTATTGTTACAATTTCAATAAATCAAATCAAATCAAATCAAGTTTGACCCCTGACCCTGACCTGGTGATTTTCCCAGCATGCTCTGACCTCCTCTTGCGTGAGCTGCGAGTCCGAGCGCTGATGCTCCCCTCCTGTTTCTGAGTCTAGAGCGCTCTGGTCTGACACACTGGAGGCATTGGACAACGTTTCTGGGGGGAAAGGATATATCAATTGTTTTCTTTAGAATTTTATATTACATTTTTAAACTGTCATGCCACTAATTCATTTGTATAGGTAGTTACATGTTTAAGGATAAAACTTTAGTTCCAATGCAAAGAATTGTTCTAAGATAGAGGTTTCGACCAGTTACTCTGGTGTTCTCTGAATTTACCAGATACATTTTGACCCAGTGATGTCACACTTCAGAGAAGCCACCTGATAAGTCAGTCTATTGAAGAAGACCAGAGTGACTGGTTAAAAGCTCTAGCTCTTGTTACAAAGCAAGTACATGTACTCTTCCCTATTTAGCTATAGCACCAGAACACTTAGCTAGCAGTATAAAAAGGTTTAACTCTGTGACCTCACCATGCACAGCCTTGAGCCTGCGGCTTCTTTTGGTGTGAGGCGGTGACAGACTAAACATGTCCACATCAGACCACACTTCAGACACTGTCGTGCTTTCTGACTCTACGTGTAACAGACAGGGAGAGCATTAGTGCGTCGGTGTGTTAGTGCAGCAAAAAGCAACAGGTGTCAGATAAGTTAATCTCAAAGTGTCACGTGCGATAGATCAAACAATTAACTCATGTGGTAAAAAGAAAAGAACCGCAGAGAGTAACACACAGAAGCTCTAGAACATCTAGCAAGACGACAAGAGCCCAAGGTAAGATCAATACGTACCTCTTTTAACCCTGCTCCTTGTCACAGGCCTGGTTGTACCTACAGCTTCTGTCTGGTCCTCCTGGGTCCCCTGGACAGGTGAGCTGTCTAGTACAATCAGCTCTGGACCACTGTCTGTCTCCTTCTGAATCTGTCTCATCTCCACATCTTCTTCTTCTTCAGTTGTCTTCAGCTTCTTTGGTGGGGACCCTGTCTTGTCTTTGGCTCTTTTCCTTGAGCTTCTCCTGATCCCCTGGTTGTCAGAGACGTCTTGGTCAGATGCAACACCAGCAGCCTTGCTCCTCCGTCTTTTACTACTGCTTTGTGAGCTCACACTCAGATCAGAGTCGGAAGCCAGCTGCGTTTGTTGAGAGAGAATGTCCTTAGGTGCCTTGCTCCTTCGAGGACGTGTCCCAGAGGTACTCGGTACAGATATATCAAGTGTCAAGTCCTTATCATCCTTTTCGTCACCCTCTTCTTGGAGAACAGGCTCGACTTTCCTTGAACTTCTCCTACTCTTCCTCCTAGACTTGCTTCCTGCTTCAGACATGGAGGACACAGAAGTCATCGAACCGGAATCTGAAGGGATGGGTGACCTTGACCTGGTTCTAAGGCCCATCTTTCCCTTCGGGACGTCCATGCTTGCCAAAGATACCTCTCCCTTGGTGCCTGTCTCTTCAGCAGCAGGTTGTCCTCCGTGTTTATCACCAGTGCCTGTGTTAAAGTCAAGCCTCTTGGGGTCCCCGGTGAGGTCTGGGGCGACCACCACTCTTGGATTGTGTGCCTTGATGATGAGTTCTCCGGTCGGCGAGTGCAAAATCACGGGCTTGTGGTCAGGAGAGTCGCTGCTCACTCTCACCACGATGTGACCGCTCGTCGCAAACTGTACCTCGGGGCTACCCTGGGGGGACACCAACTTGATCCTTTGCTCTTCTTCCTTGTGCTTCTTCGGGGTTGGTGTCTTTACCATCCGCAGCACTTTGCCTTGCTTCTTCTTGCCTGTAGTACTTTCTGCTGGTTGTTCTGAGCTTGCTGAGTCACTGATGGGTTGTGCTAGTGTGACGTCATCCTCCTCTTCTCCTTTCTGTTTATCCACATCTGCTGTCTCTTCGGTTGGTGTCACCTCCATCGTAGTTTCCTCACTTTCTTTATCTTCTAAGATTTGCACTGACTCCTCTGCCTGGGCGGTAATTTCATCCGACACTTTCACACTTTGCTTCTTTGTCTTACTCTGTTCAGCTTCTTGTTCAGCGTCTTTCAGATCCAACTTCCTCCTTCGCAGACTCTTTCTCCGGCTGCTAGAAGACACAGAGCTGTCGCTATCATGGCTAGGAACTTCCCCGACGGGCTGTAAGGTTTGCTGGGCGGTTTTGCGACGCTCTCGCTTAACCATTGGGGTTGGCTCCCTCGCCTTTGCTTCCTTGGCGCTCGTTTTTGAAGACATCAGCATCTTGGAAGATTCTTCTAGTTCTATCTCATCAGGACACACAGTCTCTGACTTGTCTCCCTTTAAAGTGTCTGGATCTTCTAAATTTTCGTGCTCTGAAGGTGAATCTTGGTCTTTTTCAGCTGAAGTTAGGTCTGCAGGAGCGTCAACTTTCTCGGTTTGGTCAGAAACTACGTCACCGGTGTCTGTTTCATCAATGATGACGTCGGGGAAAGTTTGTTTCTCGATGTACTTGCCGTAGCTCTGTCCCAGCATGGATCGCCGGCGCTTGTCCGATGACTTCTGAGGCGGCGTGGACGGGGCAAGGCTCTTCACGTCGTCTTCGCTGTTCTCCTGGGCAATTTTTTCTGTCACCTCAGCCGCAAGTTCCCTCAGCTCATCATCCGTTGACAGCCTCCGCTTTCGCGCTGTAGTCGACGCTGCTCCCCCTGCAGTTTTCACAGGAGACGCCTTGGAGGGAGAGAAGTTAGCTCTCGCGGGAGAAGACTTTCCTCTTGCCGGTGAGACTGGTGTCTTGAAGATGGTCTTTTTCTCTGTTTCTCCGCTCTCTGCAACGTTTGCTGATGGTCCCTCCTCAACAACTTCTTCCTCCTCCATTGACTGCGATACAACTTTTCCAGCTGTTGTACTTCCATACCCCTCAACTTCCAAAGGTATTACCTCAGACTGGTCCAAAGCAGGTTCTGCCATTGAAGTTGGAGCGACAAGATTTTGACGCAGCTTCAGAATCGTTGACGTGAGTCCCTCATCATCACTATCGGACTCCTCAGAGTCAGAAACATCCTGCACATCTGCAAGCCCCTGCTCTTCTACAGTTGGAGACTCCTCCATCTGATTGATACTAGTATCCTGTGACTCTTCTTTTTCGGCATCTGAAAGCTCCCCAGAGTCGGCATCACATTCGACTTCCACTGATTCATTGTCCTTTTCCACTTCGTTTTCCTCATCACTGACTGTGATCTCAGGTTGGAAAGAGTCGTCTTCACCATTTTCAACATTTCCTGCAGTTTCTACTTCTTTCATAGCTTCAGATGTGTCCATTTTGCTTTCCTCTTTGTCTGTGTCTACGTGGATTTCCTCCTTGGTGGTGTGCATGAATTTCTCCACATCTTGTAGCAACTCTGACGCCGTAGCTTTAAACGCCATCATTTCAACACTCTCCTGGGTGGAGTCGTAGCTTTCTCCTTCCAGACATTTAATGTCTCCAAAACTTCTTTCAAGCTTCTCATGTTCCTTACTCTCTTTCTTGCTTTTCTTCTTTCCTTTCTCTTTCCTTCCCTTCTTTTTTTGTCCCTTGTCTACAGATTTAGGAATGTCTCTTCCATTCTTTACAAGTTCTTCCTCATCTTCCACTTCGTCAGCAGAACTGATCTTTATAACTTCCATTTGTTGTGGTACATCAGAAATATCTTCTCCCATTGCTGCTGACATTTTTTCCTCACATTCCTCTAGTTTGCTGCTTTCTAAGTCTACTGCTTGTTCCTGTGTGCTGTCTATGCTGTCTCTGCTGTCCTTCTGCACTGCCCTCACATGTAGGGGTGACACAGGGCTTTTGACAGCCCAGGGACCAGAGGTGCTGTCCCTCTCCTCCTGAGCCCTCCTCCTCACACTCTGTCTTCTGTAAGTCTTTAGGGATTGAGCGACAATCTCTGCAACTTCCTCCTTCCTTTTGGCTTTACTTTTTGGCACCTGAAAACCAACAGAAAAGATTCCTTGATGAAGTTTAGACATGACCCAGGTCATTGAATATCAAAGTTCTTTATTCACATACACCACAAGAGCTGGCATTTTGATATCTGTTATCTTCATCAAGGCAATTATGACTGATCTACTGTGCACTGAAGCTAGATGTTACTACTTCAGTACACAGCGAACCAGTGTGTATGAAGATGACAGTCAGCAAAATGCTCGCTCTTGTAAACAAGTGGTTGTGAATAAAGAACTTTGACATTCAATCATTCACCAATCTGTGAAGACTGTTACATTCATTATCTTACCTTAAACTCTACCTCCTCCACATCAGAATCTTCACTGCCCTCTTCCCTCTCCTCAGGCATGTCCTCTCCGACGTTGATCCCCCCGAGCAAAGTGTGGATCTCACCCAAAATCTGAATCTCCTTCTCACTGTGGTCCTGATCTGGATCACCTGTTCCCATCTACATGTATGTAAAACAAAAAGGATAAAATGTAATTACAGTTCCACAAGTCTTACTGTCTTTAAATCAATTGACAACCACATTTTCCAGTTTGGTGTTACTGTATAGAGACTCTTTTTACATACTAGTAACCAAGAGGTTTATTCAGCTGACGTTTCGGTGACCGTCTGTCACCTTTCTCACGGCAAATCTTCCCAACTTGATTAAACTATCCACAGTTTGGAGTTACTTTTCTATCAAGAGATTCATAGTTGACGAAGTTTAAAATTCATTCAAAAGTACATTGTTTTTGCAAGGATAATGTCCTTGCTTTTTGTAAGTCTTATAATTTTTGATTGAAGTTCTCAAGGTCTGTATTTATATAATTTAGTTTAATTGTTTGCTCCTATCAGAATTGCTCGGTACTGCACCTGTGCTGCCGTGTCTTCATCTTTTGAGTTGTCCACAAAGAACAGGTCTGTGTCATCACTGGGTCTTGTCTCTTTCTCTGTCTGAACTTCGACCTCCGTCTCTACACTGTCTGACTGCCCAAGTCCCTCGGTTAGAAGCTGTGAAGTAAAGGACAACACAAAATCAGAGGGATGAAAGTAATGGAAAGTTTATTGCAAATTCATGCCCGAAGGCTAATTGCAAGAACATGATAACAAATAAACAGTACAAATGATAACAAGTAATGCTAATATG